TTTACACCTAACAAAGTCAAAGCCAAGTAATACACACCAACTTACCGGTCATGAACACATACGAAATTATTAGCACAGTTTGTCTTGTTCTTCCCATCTCTTTTAACATTCGTAATTGCTGTTACTAGGTGAAGAAAGTAAATTCAAAAGCCTTGGTTTCTGTTCCCCGTGAAGAAGCACAGTGAGATCCTGCCGCTCCGCATCAGCTTACTAGCATAGCTCCAGCGTGCTCTTTATAGAGCCTCTGGTCGAGGTTGAGTGGGAAATCCCCAGACGGGGGAATTCGGAGCAGGCCGGATTCACGCCGGGCTGCGCCCTCTGCTGCTCTCTGCAATGCACAATTGGAAGCCAGGAAAACAAGGAATACTAACACTGCCCACTGTGCACAAAAAGCGCAAGATCCGATCCTGCAAACAACTGATAACATGAAAGAATGGGGGTAATTCCAAGCAACTGAATGGCTCTATATCTCAGATGGAAAAGTTGTTCAAGTTTGCTTTCAGTGTAAATATTTTTGTAGGAGTGAGTCTAGAGAATACTTCTAACAATACTCAGTTCTGTAATTAACTTTACCCAGCTCAGTATTCCCCTTGAAAACTGCACTACCAGTTCAAGAGGTGATGTTACTCCCATTTCTAAGTGTAAAAATGAAGAAATAAGTCAGATAACAGAAGTCTGGAGATCCAACTTGATCAGCTTGAATCACATTCATCTTTTTGGGATTAACTGACTGAACTAATCTTCCCAATTCTGCTTTAAAAATGCCTTTAAAATGTCCCTCTTTCAAGGTGCTACCTGTATGCATTACATCACTGATATTCCTCATCTCAGTTGTCCTATGTCCTGTTTATGTACAACTGAAGAGTACCAGTTTATAATACAACTCTGGGATTATTTTCAGTGTTTGGTTTTCAGTGGGTATGTGAATCCAGACTGGAATCTTTCTGAGGGCAACCACTACTGGCTAATATAGCAACAGTGTTATGAATAAAGTAAAATTACATTTTCAGTGTTTAATTTTCAATTGGGAAATGCTATGAATACAAAGAATGGATGAAGGTTTCCAGATCTCAGCTGTTTATTTATTCAACTGCTTGAGTAATTTGTATTGGTCAGTTATGAATCCCTAAATAAAAGCAGCAAGAAATGCAAAACTAAGCATATATGTTATTTTAAAATGTCTCTGAGAAATTGTTTGGTAGGCACTAGTTTGGTCATTTGATGCCTGTGAAATACTGTCCTCATAAAGTATCTTTTATAAACAGCACAGATTCAATGTCTAACAAATGAGTAATAACTTGAAAAAATAAAAGCTGAAGTAACAATGCTGTAGATGCTAAAGAAATGTCATTGCTGAAACCTGGCACCACATCAACATGATGCTTTTTGAGTCAAGCAGATTTTACATATAGTAATCTAATGCTAGCCACAAAACACCATGTTCAGGTGGGAGTAGCATGAGAGGATGTAAAGCTTCTGCTGGCCTAGAGTCAGTGTGTCTTCTTCTATTTCTTAATGCTTTTCCCTAGCTGCACTTGCCCCTACATTTGCATCCTTACCAAAGGGCAGCTGGACAGTACAAGCTGCTACAGAAACACATGAGGTTAAGAGAAGCAGCATCAACCACTTTTTTCATTTACTTCTCAGAAAGTCGTAAATTTTAAAGGGATGTAATGATTGTAGGAAGATACAAACTGTGCTCTCAGGCAGAAAGTATGTCTGCAAAATAATAATTATTTGTAAGAACAGCAGTGTTCTGAAATATGAAAAAATTAAACAAGACAACCCATAAGACAGTAAAACAGAGCCATCTGAAGCACCTAGCAATGCCTTATCAAAAGTCTCTAAAGCTGATGTTCCCTGGTACTTCCGGTGGACTCTCCCATAATGTATTATTTCTATTATCTTTATCATTGTTTTTATTAGAGGAGGAGGGGGGAATTAAAAACAATGTCCAAGTGTAAGGAAATGCAAGCAGAGTACTGTTCTGGAAGTACTGCTATCAAATCCAGAAATCCAAAATCTATCCGGAGGAGGTAACAACATCTACAGATGCAATTTCTCTTCCCTGGAATGGCTTTTGTGAAGAAGAGTGTACTCTCTTAGTTAAGTTGCAAATACAGACTCTAACCATGGGCAGAGAGAAGCGAGAAATGAAACTCTTCTGCCTGACTACTGAATAATCATAGGCTAAGTTGAATGGGAAAAGGCAAAATTTCCCTATTTCTGGGAAATCAGTATCTAGACACAAAAAGATATAAACATAGGAGGCCATATCCGCATGCTGGAAAAACTGTAATCAAGCCCTTCATCAGATAACATGAAATAGGAAATAACTCTGAGCCAGCTCTCAGTAGAACTAAACTGGGCAGCTGCCATTAACTTTACTGGAGTTGGATCCTTACCAGAGGGACTATGACACTGAGTGACAGACAAATTTAACTCAGACACTACAGGTGAGAGCAGGGTTAGCCAAGAAATATCATTAAAGGAAGTACGGATCTGACAAATTAAACAAATTTCTTAAAACTCGTTCTTTACCCAACTTCAAATGTGAGCCTTCTGTGCATTTTAAACAGAACATACACTTTACTGTTGCTCCTACTATCCTCTGCATCAGCTTGCAAACAGGAGAATGGCTATCAAGCTTGCTTATTTCCAGAACAGGCTGTCCTGTCTAGGGATCAGCAGTTGACCTCAAGAGTTCACACAATCAAGCTTTTTATTCAAATTGCACAAAGGAGGATGCTGGGGATAAGCCCAGAGGATGCATCTAGATTCACAGTGAGATCAAGGGTCAGAGAATCAACTGGAAGAAAAACCTGACACATGCAGAGCATAATGAAGACTGGAATGCAACAAGTATTACAAAAATACCACTAAAGGCAAAAGAGATTAAAAGAATGAAGCACTGGGATGTAAATACGTTTTTTAATATATCTAGTAATCAAAAGAGTCTCTTCTCAGGCTTTGTTGGACAAACAAAGAGAAGACAATTGTGTGTCTCAGAAGGGAGTTGAAAATACTGAACACGTCATTTTTGGCCTGGCATCAGAAAATACAAATGTCCTTCAGGAAACTGAAACTTGCTTCAGGCTTTTTTTGGAATGTAAGAACAGAAACTCATTTCAGAATTGTGTTCAGCTTTTCCTTTAATTCATACTTCTTCAACCATGCTAAATACTTATATGATGGACTCCACTTAATTTCCTCTAGCCAAGAGATAAAAACTCTCGCTGACCAAAATGCAACATGTTCATTATCCAACATTTCTAAACCTCTTCTTAACTATTCTATGATTTTATGATTTTTAACATACTGCACCGTCTCAGGGAGGCTATGAGAGGAAGCTGAAAGGCTAACCCTCGCACAGAATTTGGTCTCTTCAAACCTGCGCCACTGGTTTTGTGATTTATGGCCTACGGAGAAGAGGTCAGCAATAAAATACTTCATGGAACTCCATCCCAATAGCTGTCATCTAGAGCCACCACTTAGGATTTCTGCTAAAAACATCCAGTGTTGGCATAATAACTTCTACACAGGGCCCTAACACAGAAACACATGCAACATGTTTACTGTTAAGTATCTTTGTCCCACGAGCTTGAAGAGGGTAGAATCCTTCAGTAGAAGGCCTGGCATTCAGGTGAGAAGATGCAGCTAAATCTGACGCAACAATTCTTCAGCCTCAGATCATAGAGGTATTACAGCAAGTTCATGCTTAGGTCCCCCATTCAAACAGCAGCCCTCACCCATCTCACAAAAGATCTCCTTGGGATGCGCACTGGATGTCTGAGTATGAGAAAGCCTCTCAGAGTTTCTGATGCTTTACGGAAGCAGCTGGGATGAAGAGCTTTCACACTATGCAAAGAGTGTCTGATACCTCCACAGTATGATCATACCTAAAGAATAAAAGCAAGAGGAATGTGCTGTAACTCAAATGAGAACTACTCTTGCAGGGAAAAACATATCTGCATCAACAAGGAAAGAATTCCCTTCAGGCACCACATCCAAGGGCACACCTTTAGTATGGTCATATCATATGATCAAGTAACTGAAAAACCATGTACCTGGAGGATGAGTACTGCTGACTATATGACTTACCCAGCAGATAATGATCTGGCAGATGCCAAATCTTTAATTCTCAGCACCTCAGTAGCCTGCTATATGGGTTATATTCTGTCTTGCCTTTCCCAGTGCCTACTGGCTTTTTGGTTCCCAAAGCTTTCCTAACCCTTTGGTTTCCTTAACCCCCTCCACCTTCTTTCTCATCACCTGACAATAACACAACATCTGTATAGCCCCCAAAAGGGGGAGGAGAGCATCACTGACTCCCTATAATTTTCATCTCCAGATGGGAAAGATGAGCTCTACCTGCAGATCTATTTAAAGGGTTGTGTTTGTTTCAGAAATTGTAACTTTGTTCCCAGCTACAAAAAGAACACCAACGCATTACCCTGTAACTCACATCACACCTTACAATTGTACTCCACATCTAACTTGTCATCTACTGAAAAAAGGGAAAAAAGAAACAACTTAAGAAAGTTTTATCATCTGATTCTTTCCCTTTTCAGGAATTTCTGAAATACTGAATATAAAAATAAATACATCTACTTCCTTCATGATTTTTCTCAGGCACCAGCTCCTATGACACTTCCTGTCTGGTGGGTCTGCAGGCATCCAGAATCCACAAAAGATGTCAAATAAAACAATACTGAAGTATGGTAAGTGGCACAGACTACAAATAGCTAATTCCTTGTGGGGTTTTTTTTCTGTTCAGAGGCATCGCCTATTTCACTTCACAGAAAGGAATGAATAAAAGCCATTAGAGAAAAAAAGTCCCTACTTTTTATCATAGTCTCTTGTTGCTGGCGAAAAACAAGATCTGGAAATTCCAAATCTTATTTAAAAAAAAAAAAAGTGTTATTTTAGTGATGCTGGGTATAAAAGTGAAACTGTTGAACAGCCTTTTAATTCACATACCTACACTACCTTATTTAGGTTGGGTAGCTGAGCTTCTATTGTTTTCACATTGACAAAAGTTTCCCTTTTGAAACATCCTCCAGTGTATATTTAGAGCCAAATTCAAATCAGAGTATTCAGAATCTGTTTGGGAATTTTTAAATGAGAGGTCAGCTCTGCTTTTATTTTGAGCCAAATATCTTGAAACTCATCAAAGTCATTTTTCCTCACTGGAATTACAGATTCTTACACAAAACTCCTTCAAAATGGTCAGAGAAAAGAAATAATGTGAGCTTTGGGTCAGAGCACGGATGCTGGTTAGGACCTGGGATACAGCAAGATTAAGTCAACTGAAAACATTTATCAATGAACATGAACAAGTTTCTTGATTCACCCAACACTCTACATTAGATTTCCATACCACTAAATATTTCTGTACACCTCATTAAGGCCAGCATTTCACATCATCAGATGAAGGTAATCAAGAAAAGGATGTAGATCTTTTTTACCAAGCTCTGTTATTACTCACCAACATCTGCTCTCCAAGGCACTTAGAGATTCTTGATTACGGGAAAATGGAGATCAGCCACCTCCCTATTTCCCACCTCCTTCCTGTTCTTCAGTCATGAGGTACATGCGTGTCCCTATGGACACAGAAAGACAAAGTGAAATGATGACAGCAAGGTGTGTAACATACCATTCCAGCTGGAACAAATGCAGAACTTGGATTCTCCTAAACAAACTACTGCTAACTGCACTGATACCAATTGATCATCCTTCAACTTGTCAATCACTGACTATATTCTTTATTCTCTTACAATGGTTCCCATTCTGAAAAGCTATGTTCAGCTGTATAGATGTCATTTTTGCTGTGCTGCATGATATCAATGCAATCTTTGTAGTCCCACAGACTGGCTTGCTAACAGGTAGAAATATTACACAGGCATCAGAAAGGAATTAAATCACTGCATGATTAAAGAATCATAATTTTAAAATCTTCCATGTGGGTGAGGATTACAGGGATTGCTCAACTTCTATTTTTTTCTTTAATTTCGAGGGGGGGGTTTGAAACACATATGGAAATTTTTTTTTAATATAGATATTGTCACTTTTCTGTCTCTGGAAGCAGACTGAAAGTTCTAAAGAAAATGACTCTTCAAACAGAAAAGAAGGCATGAACTGATTTTTACTTCCACCAAGCCAAAATGACAAGTACCCAGGAGAAAGCATTTTGCAGTAGCAAAATATGTGTGTTTGTGTAAAGTAAGTAACACTTCAAGCCAGCTGCAAGTCTGTTTAGGATCTGGCACCTTTCGTTTTCTTTGGAATGTGCTCTTCCCTAAATCAACAACATGCTGTTTTGTTACTTGGACTATTTCTGTCTTTCATGTGTTCCTCACAAAGTATCATCTTAGCTACTTGCTTTATTAGCCCTTTGACGGCAGGAATATACTACTATAGGAGTAGCTAAGTGATAAAAACCATGAATTTTTCTAGACAAGCAAGAGCAAGAAAGATGCGAGTTGCTGGGATTGATTTCCCTCTTCAAGACAATTACTTGGCTAGGCATCAAAGGCCTAGTCCTTGTTGTCTGATAGAGACAATTGATCAAGAATGACTCTCATAGCTGTGTCACCCTTTATCATAGCCCATGTTACTTTCTAGTGATAAGAGAGGGAACCTGAAAAATGTGACACGTGTTTGAAATTGCTGTCAGGCAGGACAAAGGTCTGTGCTGAATTACTTTGAGAAACGTCTGACTTCCACCATTCCCATGATTCTTAGATAAGGATCCCTCCAGAAATTGCCCAGAATTATATGTGAATACCAATTCATGAGGAACACATGGTTTAATGACTCTTTAGGTTGCAAAATTTTGCCTCTATTGATTTCATTTCTGACTATAATTAGAACCACATTAACAATCACTAGTACCACATTAGTATCTCTCTTCCAACAGCTCAGCTACAGTTGCTCTACCCACATAGTTCTCTGGCTGAGGGTTTCTCCCTGCTGAATGGAATCAGTACTGACTGATTGGTCATATGATCATGTGAAAGCAGCTACTATGAGGGCTTCCACTTGGAAGCCTGGTCATCCTAATGGGAAACAAAACATTTCTGTGCAGCTCACACTTTTTAAAAGATAAAGAAGACACATAAATGCTGCATATGTGATGTTGAATCCTTTTGTAGATCAAGGACAAAATCCAGTTAAGTTCTGAGGTAGGTTCATGAGCTTGAGATTAATCTTACCTCTGTAATGGCTTTCTGTATTCAGGGTATCAAGTAGCAGGGTGACTTGGTATCTGCAAGACCATCAGGCACAGGAATTTCAAGGGCGAATACAGTTAACATTTCGGGCAAATTATCTCACACTCAGTTTGCTAGATCATTTGAATGAATACAATACTATTATCTCACACAGAAGATAAATACTCTCTAAGATTTCTGTATTATTGATTTAAAGTCATATAGAAATATTGACCTTTAAATGATTTATTCTTACATTTTATATGACACTGATTTATCTCCTATGGTGCCAAGATCCAGCTGGTGATTTTATTTTTCTTGCACTTTCAGGTTTCTTGTGCCATGACTGTATTGAATTCTGTGGCATGAAGAGATGCTCATTCCACCTCTAAGGTCAGTATATGGATCCTGCTGTAGTTTATGGCTTCAGAAAATATGTTTGTACATGGTAAATATATTGTATGAACAATTTAGGATCTTGAACAATTTAAGAACAATTGTTTCCCTTTATCCTGCATATTTATTAATTGAAAAGTTTCTTTTTCATTTATTTTGATATGCAATTTATTAATTGGAAAATTAAGGTTAGAAAGTAAGCAGTGTTTAAAAACCCATAGCTTCCCAATGGAAATTAATCTGCACTATTTAGTAGTGCTTATTAGATCATCATATTACTATTTTAATACAAGTAACCACACTGCTTTCTAAGTTATCAAAAAGGTAGGACAGTACACTTAAGAAAGATGATTAGTCTGAAGATGTAGGTTATTTTAAAGACGCATGAATGACGAGTTGGCAATTTTGTATAACATTCTTTGTGAAGTTAGTTTCATTTTTGTGAATTATTTGTAAACTTACCTTGATTTTTTATTTTCTTACTCTTCTTTATAAATTTGATGTTTCAATGAATGCATTTCATACTATGGTATTGGTCTATTTTCATCAGGATTTGTGTTGTACAACATGCCATTTAAGACTCACTTTATCCTTCCAATCTGTTTTCAGTAGACCAAAACTCAGACAACCAAGTTCAGAGCTTTGACTAATAGACACAATTATCTACTGGACTTGACTGGGAACAGCACTTTCCGGGCACCGGGCAGCAAACCTCTATGAATAACTGGAAATCCTGGCAGGATCTAATTAAATGAACTAGGACATAAAGCCAAGCAAGATGTTATTTGTAATTTCTTGGTAATCTCATAATAATCAAGTTCTGTCTATTGTAAAAATGTCATAGTGACTCTTTAAGGTCACTGAAGGTTAAACACATTGGAACCCTAACTTAATATGTCAGAGAGACCTTCCAGTTTTATCTTGTCTGTAATTGCATGCTGTGCCTCAAAAGAGAAATGTCTACATTATTCAGAGAGCTCTCTCAAGTACATGGAATGTCAAGAGCCTGGAGTGAAAGTGAGTAGAGCCTGCATTGTCACATCAGGGTTTACAACACACAGAAGTGTCCAGAAACAGTAAGAGCAGCTTTTCTGCTTCCCAGCTGAACACACAGTTCAGTGCCCAGGAGCCCAAGGAAGCTTTAAAGTCTTGCTGTTAAACAGGAATGAAGTCTACCCTTCCTGCTGATGTTATAGTGCTTTACACAGAGATAAGTTACACAGTCTCCTCTATGAGCAGTTTACTACCTAACTGGGAAATTTACTGCTCAGTCTATGCATGAATGCCAGCTACTGCCATGAACTTCAAAAGATTTCCAGGATCCACACAGTGAGAGGCTATTTGAAAGAACAGTGAAAAAATTCTTATAAACACCGTAAGTTTTTACTTACAACCTTCCCCGACAAATCCCAGATTCTGTTCAGAAATCACTTACAGTTGCTCCAGAACCACAATAAATAATGAAGATAGAAAAAAGAACAAAAAACAGAAGAAAAAAATGGAAAACGGGAAATGGATATTAAGGAAAAAGCTCTTCTGGAAACATCAATAAATAGTCTTAAGTATTTCATCCATTTTAGGAAAAATGTTTTGTCTTCTCAAGTAGAAGTAGTTCAAATGCCAGGATTAATGGTGCCCCACGTGCAGTTCAGATAAAAGAATATATTATAGAGAATATTCTTATTCCCTTATTCTTGTTTCCATGCATTAGAAAACACATAATGTGTTTTGGGTTAGAGCTTCCTTTTTTTTACCTTCTTTTTTTATCTTCTTACACCCAAAGGAACCTCTTTCATCCACAAATTCTGCTGCTCTTTCTCCCTTACATTTGGAACTATTTCCTTGTGATCTTCTCCATCATATATTAAAAAAAATGCAACTCTACATCAAAACTTTTGACATAAAGGTCTGCTTTTGGAAGAGAAAGTTTTTACAGTTAATTCAATATTCCTCTGAATCTTTGTAAGAATCATGGGAAGGAGATAGAGATGGCATTATCTACACTCTGACCACCACTGAGGTTTTGGTTTATCAAACTCTGATTTTTATCAGAATATATAAACAGCTGCAGTGGATCAGTCCAAATTTTACTGAGCCAAAATCCCATCTCTGACGCTGGCTAAAAGCAGAGGGAAAGATAAAAGCTTGACAATGGGGGAAGCACATGTGATCCAGTTGATTACACAGGGGCTTACAGAGAGATGGTCTCTATGAATTTAGTCTGTACTTTTGAGAGCATAATTCAATATAAGAAAAATCCTATGAGCAAGGGGAAAGAACTGTGAGAAATGTCTAAGAGATCGGGAAATCAAAGTAGCCTGTGAAAATCTTAAATAGTGTAAAAAATAGAAATTAATAGTACTACTAGTCTCACCTCCGTGCCTGGCAAGATTCTCCTGGAAGGCACGCTAAGGCACATGGAAAACAACAAGGTGCTTGGTGACAGCCAGCATGGCTTCACTAAGGGGAAATCCTGCCTGACCAATTTGGTGGCCTTCTATGATGGGGCTACAGAACTGATGGACAGGGGTAGAGCAGTTGATGTCATCTACCTGGACTTGTGTAAAGCGCTCGACACTGTCCCACACGACATCCTTGTCTCTAGAGAGCCATCAATTTGATAGGTGGACCACTCGGTAGATAAAGAACTGGCTGAATGGTTGCACGCAAAGAGTTGTGGTCAATGGCTCAATGTCCAGCTGGAGACCCGTAATGAGTGGTGTCCCTCAGGGATTGGTGTTGGGACCAGTCTTGTTTAACATCTTTGTTGCTGACATGGACAGTGGGATTGAGTGCACCCTCAGCAAGTTTGCCCATGACACCAAGCTGTGTGGTTCAGTTGATAGGCTGGAGGGAAGGAATGCCATCCAGAGGGACCTTGACACGCTTGTGAGGTGGGCTGATGCCAGCCTGATGAAGATTAACCATGGCAAGTGCAAGGTCCTACACCTGGGTCAGAGCAATCCCAGGCACAGCTACAGGCTGGGCAGAGAAGAGATTCAGAGCAGCCTGAGGAGAAGGACTTAGGGGTGTTGGTTGATGAGAAAATATAAACATGAGCCAGTTTCAGTGTTTGCTTGCAGCTCAGAAAGCCAACCATATCCTGGGCTGCATCAACAGGAGCATGACCAGCAGGTCAAAGGAGGTGACCTTGCCCCTCTACTCTGCTCTCATGTAACCTCACTTGGAGTATTGTGTGCAGTTCTGGTGTCCTCAACATAAAAAGGACATGGAACTGTTGGAACAAATCCAGAGAAGGCCACGAGGATAATCAGGGGACTGAAGCACCTCCCATATGAAGACAGGCTGAGAGAGTTGAGGCTGTTCAGCCTGGAGAAGAGAAGGCTGCGTGGAGACCTCATAGCAGCCTTCCAGTATCTGAAGGGGGGCTATAGGGATGCTCAGGAGGGACTCTTCATTAGGGACTGTAGTGATAGGACAAGGGGTAACAGGTTCAAATTTAAACAGGGGAAGTTTTGATTGGATATAAGGAAGAAGTTCTTTACTGTAAGGGTGGTGAGGCACTGGAATGGGTTGCCCAAGGAAGCTGCGAATGCTCCATCTGTGGTGGTGTTCAAGGTCAGGTTGACAAAGCCTTGGATTACATGGTTTAGTGTGAGGTGTCCCTGTCCATGGCAGGGGGTGTGCAACTGGAAGAGCTTAAGGTCTTTTCCAACCTTAAGTATTCTATGATTCTACTTACCACTAGTTCATTTAGAGCTCAGGAATCACCTTCTCTATTCTGCCACTCTAAACCCAACTCTGCTGCTTTTCCTCCATGCAGCTGCAGAACAATCTCAGTCATTCCTGAACTTTATCAAGTGAGCTCTTCTGAGCATCCCAGTTTGGCACAGAGACTCTGCCAAACTCTGGCACTGCCAAACTGCTCTTGCTGCCTGCCAGCTGCTGTCAGTGTGTCACTCCCAGGCCATCTCAGAGTCCTGGTACCACAGTTTGGCTGCCTCTGTGTGGCAGCTTGTCCACCTGCTGACTTTGCACTACATGCTGCTACAAAGGTGCCTGCTGGCATCCATCTCAAAAAGTAAGATTTCCCTAAGTTGATTATGTCACCGCCTTACTTAGGATTTCATTCTGGCCTAATCTAAACCCCAATGGACTCAAATAGATACTCTTCTAGAGACACCATTAGACTTTGCATGGGCTCCTTCAGCTCCATAGTGCCATAATGTTTAACACTGAAACATTCGCTACCACTGAAAACTGGAATGACTGAAAGACTGAAATGCAGCTTTACTGCCAAAGATCTGTGTAACTGAGGAAAGTAACTCTTTATGACTTTCTAGGAGACCTGTGGAGCTCAACCCAGTACCAAGCACAAAGCATGCCTGTAGCTCAGAAGGCTGTCTTTGCCATAGTACAGAACTTTGCAAACTTTATCACAAAGAATAAACATCTTTATCTAAAGTGTAAAAGTTGCAATAAATTTGAAAACTCATGTCAAAACGGATTTCAAAATACAAAGAGGTTTCTAAAAGAAACATACAAAGAATTAAATCTCTAATGCTTATAGTCAAAATCACTTTATTTTCTGATGCATGTCTTTCTATTCTCCTCTCAGGAGAAAACTGGCATTTACCATTTTAGTGACATCTATTATAACTCTTGAAATATTTCTCAATTTTATCAGAATATTCTCCACCTTCTCCAAATACTCGAGAGATTAATCCTTTCTATGGCTTGAGGTCTTTTAAAAATCCCACTGTCACACAGGGGATAAAGAAAGAAACAGGATATCCAAGTAAAATACACAAAAATAGGAAGAAGTTTGTTTATGAAATAGCAACCAGAGTCCTGACATATACAATATTCTCATTGTTGTTTCCTTTGCCATAAGTTTTCTGACCCTTCTGTTTTGTTTTTCTGGTTGATTTATTCATCAGCTTTTTCTATCACTATGGCAAAGGCAAATATCCTTTGGAAGGAAGACCATCTTCCCTCCTCCAGACTTCCTCCAGGACAGAGAAGAAAGAACATCGATTTATTGTCCTGACAAAGTTGGCCACCTGGACCTATTATTCTCAGGCCAGAAGTGCAAGACTACAGTGTACTCTGGCAAAACCTGCCTGAGGAACAGATCATTTGCCACATCAGCAGCATTTACTAGTGGTGCCTTGTCTAACCCAGAGCAGTAGTCAACAGCGGGTACTTCAGCGGAAGGCAAAGACTGGCCAAGTTCCTCATGCAATGCTTTAAATAATTTCCTTATTTGCACACAGTATTATGTCCCCTTACTTGAGGTATTACTTCCTTCTTTAGCTTGGCTTATTTCCTGCTTCAACAGTGAAAAACCACAGAACTTTTAAAAAGTCTAAACCCATGCAGAATGAGCAATACACACACACAGTGGTAAATACCAGAGCATATACCTTTGTACAAAATACCAGCATCTTAATCTGAAAACAGCAAGAAACTTCCTGAAAGTCTCCCAACTAAAAAGTATCATTTAATCAGACAGTATCAGTATCAGAAATCAAAACCTCCTTAATTCAAGGAAATGTGAAACATTTGACTGGAAGTGAGAGGATTTCTCAAAGCACGGTGCTTGCTATTCTCCAGATAAGAGAAGTAATCTTCCTCATTTCACATGATATTTATCACATGGAATTGCCTATATTTAGGCTGTGAGCTTAATATTTGAGCTGTAATCAAAGTAAATTAGAGAAAGAAAGAAGAAAAAATGGAAAAAGAATGTGAAAAAAAAAGGAGGAACTGAAGGTTTATGATGGTCTGAAAATTAAAATCACTGCCATGAAAACCCCATTTTTTAAGTTTATTTTTAAATACATTCCTCCTAGCTGTAGTACTCAGACCAGTAACTGTGTGAGCTGGTATGTGGACACCTACAGATATCCTGCAGATACCCCACATTTAGGTGTTTATATCTGCAGTTTAACCCCATCCTTTTATGTCTCTTTGAAAGGACATTCTTTCCCAGTTATAGTTTAAAACTCCTTATAACACAAAACCTTATGGCCTGTAGCAATAGTAGAAAAATGTTGTGTTACATGAAACATATCCAGATACACCAACATAGTAAGTTTTTAATTTCTAAGTTGCATATATGCTAAATAATTACATGCAAACGAGAAAATACACATCTGTTTCTCCATATAATTTCTTTTAGAGTAAGTTTTTACTTAGTGATTTATGTGTATACTGCAGATGACTACTGAAAGTATCTTCTATAAACTACATAAAATACAAATCATTTGTTTCCTATTGCCACAAGGAATGCTATCTTTATTTATTTTTTCAGTAAAAGGAAACTCCATACCAAGAAGAGAAACTCACCTCATCTCAACAATGCACTCTATCCCATTCTGCATAAGACAAGGAATTTACCTCAGATTTACT